TTAAAGAGAGTCYAGATCCAAATATAAGATTTGGATTAGGAAACTCCTAATAAGATTAGGAGAACCTCTCTTTAAGGCTATAAATAGGAGAGCAGGGTGGACCTCTATATACAAATTCATAGTTTGCTGAATTAAGAGAGAAGACAACTCACAGTTTGACTGCTACTGTCTTCTGCTCTTTTCTTCCTGTTCTTGCCGCCCCTACCCAGTTCGATCTCCACCTGTGGGAGTGATCAAGAATCGTTCTTGATATTGCTTCTTGGTAGAAGAGGCGATCTGAAGTCGTGCTCACCAGCCCTCTACTACTTTCTTGCTGAAGAATTCGGTTCTTACTGAAGAGCCGTCCTGTTGATTCTGCTTCACCTCACAATGTGTCATCTTCAGTGGAAGCAGTTTTTGGTCTTCTCCTTGGGCGTGAACACCTTCATTGGGAGTTACTGTTACTCCGTATTATGTATATCCCTCTCCTCCCTTTTTGGTTTCAGATCTGGTCCGGTTTGTTTCAATATTGATCCTTAAAAATGCAGTTTTTTAAAATAGGGAATGCGATTCCCAGATGGGAGAGAGAGAATTTTTGAAATTTCGCCCAACCTTCTTGCAGGGTTCGACCATCCATATGATGGATCTCTCATCCCTTCAGCCTTGGGAAGAGCTGCCTTGTGACTGCTGCAAGGTGTTCTGGACGTCTCAGAGGGCTCTGTTAAAGCGGCTTTCCAGCTCCACCACAGCATTCTCTATCGTCTCCACGTTGAGATGGAGTTCGTCGACCCGATCTCGAGTCTCACCTACTGTTGCCTCGCAGTGTAGGATGCGCATGTCTAGGCTAGCTAGTTGGTCGACAGATTTGTCACGCTTGCTAGCTTTAGTTGTGTGGCCCTTTGGGGCTTGTGTCTTGGCAGGATCGTCGAGTGGAGCCTCATTGGTGTCGTGGGCTTGGTGCAGCCCGTGTAGTGTGTCATCGGCAATGTCACGGTTGCTCTTCATTGTGCTGAAGTTGGGGTGAAGACAGGGTCCAATGTGTGCGTAGGAGCTTCTGCTCTAATACCAACTATCACGGGGCTAGTCGCTGGGGCCCCGTGCGACACTCGAATGTGACAAGTAAGCCTATGTAACAAGCAACAACACAAGAAAATGCAACAAGATGGCACACGAATTAGTCAAAAAGGCTACTTGTATTGCATTAATGGATGGCAAGCACAAGCACACAGTTCAGTGTCGAGGGGATCTCGTGCTTAACCTTTACACGCTTATGACTCACTCGACTACCTACCTCCCCTCAAAGAGTACGTTAAGCTTTTGGGGTAGTGACATAAAGATACATCAAAAGGATGAAAAATCATACTAGGTAATTACAAGAATGCCATTGGCAATCCCCCATACAAAAATACATGCATAGCCCACCCATGACACACACTTGGACACTGGAGTGGCGGCTGTAGGCACGATGGATGGCACTTGATGGCGTGGCGAAGAGAACACTTGTGACACTAGAGTAGTGAAATAACCTGTGGTGGAACGCCAGCTAGTGGGACATCCAGCCCAATCTGAGTAACAGTAGGCTTTTAAGATCAAATCACACTTGGAAGAGAGTAAGATGCCTTGTTCTGGAGATGCTTTAAGGTAGCGGAGGACATGCATGGCTGCATCTAAGTGAGATTGATAAGGATTGCTCATAAATTGGCTTAAAACATGTACCAAGTATGTCAATTTGGGCCTGGTGATGGTAAGATAAACTAGCCGACCTACTAATCTTCTGTACTGATCTGGGTGGCCTACAGGAGGTCCAGAATCAGGTTGTAAGTGTTGCTGCTGTAGCATAGGAAATGAGCTAGGTTTGCAAGCATACCAGCATCAGTGAGTATGTCAAGTGTATATTTACGTTGACAAAGAAATATCCCAGCTGCAGTCCTAGAAATTTCAATGCCGAGAAAATATCGTAGGTGCCCGAGGTCCTTTATAGGAAAACAAGAGCTGAGATAATCTTTGAGAGCTGAAACACTACTTGTATCATTGCCGGCAATGATAAGGTCATCAACATAAGCTAGGACTGGAAGTAAGTTGCCCGATTGGTTGAAAGTAAACAATGTCTTGCCAGCAATTCTCCACGTATGTATATTGGGAGAAGCAATTCTCCATGTGGGACTTGGTTAGGTGGTTACTCTATTTGTTGATTCATTTACAGCTGGCATAAGCAAGTTGCCATGTATCTATAAATCCTGATCGAATGGAAACATTATCAAGGTCAGCTTTGTAGATGGATCGATTGGGAAACCAGACTCAATCAAGACAGCTGAATTGCGAGCATGGAAACACTGCAATTCTATTGTTATTTCCTGGGTTTACAATGCCCTAACCAACTAAGTCCCACATGGAGAATTGCTTCTCCCAATATACATATGTGGAGAATTGTTTCTCCTAATATAATATAGGCGTTACAATGTATTTGGTGGCTGGATGATGTCTATGCCTTTTGACTTGGCAATGTTGATTGATGCATAGATGTTCCTCTATGCTAAATAAATAAATACATGAATATTTATATATTTTATAATGTATTTTTGTAACCATACATAATTAAATGTTAATTATAAACTATTTAATCATAAATTATATTACTAGATGCTTAAATGGCAACTTACAATTGATTAATAGGAAAATGCCAGGATTTTTGAGTGACCTCCCTGGTTTAAGTTGAAAAAAAACAGAGGGAATAAAAGACCTATTTTTTTGGTGGTTCTTTATATGCTGAACTTTTTATTACTGCACTTATCTTGCACTTTCATTCAGTCTGTGACAGGTGTCCCGTACCATACATATAATGGGATAGCTGTCACAGATTGAATGGAAGTGTGAAGTGCATGATAACTGCAACAGATCCAGTTCATTATTAACACTCGTATCAATATATACTACTACTACTATTGCTGCTGCTGTTGCTATTATTACTATTATTTATCTATTTCTCTATAGAATAGGGCCTATTGCTTGGTGTAATGGTAAAATCTCAGGCTGGAAAGTAAGAAGAACACGGTTTCAAGTCTGAGAGCTGCCACTCTGCAAAAAACTGCCAAAGGTTAGGACTATATCCAGTCTATCCCTCCCAAGACCCCAGATAGCTGGGAGCAACATTGGCTAATGGCCTTTTTTTTGCTCAGAATCATATACTAGTACACCCTTATAACATCTTCTTATCTCAGTGAACTGGTGTAATTCTAGCTAGTAATGGTAAGCTTAACAGCCAGTTTAGGTGTTTGAACTTTTGTCTAAATTGTTTACAAAAAAATGGTGAACTGGTGTAATTCTAGCTAGTAATGGTAGGCTTAACAGTCAGTTAGGTGTTTGAACTTTTGTCTAAATTGTTTACAAAAAAATGGCTAAACCCAGTAGCTTGTGGAGTGATCAGGCACAAATTTTAGGGGTAATAGTAAGCTGAGCCATGTGTTTTACTTTTTCCTCTTCCTTTCTCATATCACTTCTCTCCATAGTTTTCCTTTCTGCAACTATTCTCCTAAGTTTCTCTTTTAGAAAGTGAAATTGTTTCTCAGGTGGACAAGAAATGATTGCACATTTTATATTGTTTTATCTAGTTGGGGATCATGATGCAGTAAATGCATACAACACTGGTTTATAAGCAGGAGATTCTGAGTTAAAATCTCAGTAATGCACACTTCTTTTTATAGACAGTAAAGGCTTGCTTAGTTGCAGATTTGGCGATGAAAAAATTGAATTGCTTGATTTTTTTTTTTTCAACTTGGACTTTATTAAGTGCAAGAAAATAATGAATACATGCCAAGAATCCCTCCATTTAGGTTAGCATCTGCCACCTAACCTAATCCTATTTTAAGTATTCACATTACTTGTTCTTACAATTGCCCCCAAAATGATCGACCCCTGTTGACCCCTATCTTGGCCAATGTGGCACCTAAGCATTTATGATTTATCTGCTTTTAGAACCCAAGAAAAATTGGTTCCCATTTTCCTTGCAAAACTTCTTATTTCTCTCATAATGTATTTATACTGCCACTATTCTTGACCTCTACCTTTTAGCCAGCACATAACCATCTTCATAAGAAGTTTCTATGTACAGTTGTTTTTTTCTTCAGTAATGAGATCAGTAGAATCTATTAAAAGAAGAAAGGGTGCGAAGGGAATATGAATCATATGATGCAATAAGAACAGATACCCCATGGGGCAGGGATCTGCTACCAACAAAATACTCCCAATGCTGTACCAACAGGCCACTGCAGCCACAAATTGGGAGCATCTCCTTTGATGTGCGATTGTTATGGCTAGCTGGTACAGTGTTGTGAGAGTTTGTTGGTAGCAGATCTGAACTCTACCCCAAGGCTTCCAAACAACAACCTCTCCTACATTCAAAATGTAATTGTTCCTTATTGGTAAGTCAGCATCTTGTAAAGCTCACTCATATTTACATCTTCTCTAGCTTAGGAATCAGCTAGAGCTTTAGCATATCTTCTAATCCAGTGAAACAAGGTCTTATCTCCATGTTGTCAAAATCTTATGATTTATGATATGATTCACGATTTGAATCATGAATCCCAAGGGTTTCAATTCAAATCTTATGTCTGAATCCTTTTATGCAAAAATCTTACTTTTCTTGTTTGAATCCTATGATTTGATTCATAAATCTTACGATTTATACGATTCTTGTGATTCATTGTGATTCAAATCAATTCAGTTCAGAATTAGTTCTTTGTCATTTTATTTTGTTTAGATTTAGTTTTGTGAAGGTTGACTTGTCTAGAGACCTTACTAGAAATTGGTTTATTCATGTTATTTAAGAGCATATATTGAGTTTATTTTCTATCATATGGAGGATAAAGACTCATAGTATGTGGATTATTTTACTTTCAAGTCAAATTTGATTATATCATTTGAGAATTCTATTGTATGAGTGATAAATTGTTTTATGTGCATATATGGGAGATATGGTTAAAAAATAGAGTATAATCTCTTTTCTAAGCTAGACTTACGAGCAGGGTACCATCAAATTCGGGTGCATGCTCAAGATGTACACATGACTTCATTTCACACACACGAGGGTCATTACGAATTTTTGGTGATCCCTTTTTTTCTCATTAATGTGCCCTCTACTTTCCAATCCTTAATGAATGAGATTTTTTGCCTGTTCTTGCGACAATTTATTTTGGTAATTTTTTATGACATCCTCGTGTACAATGAGGATCGTTCGTTCCTCATAAACATTTATGTACCACATTGAGTTTGTTAAGAGGCAATTAGATTTATACTAAAGCTTCTAATGTGATTTTAGTCTTGCGATAATTTACTTTTCTCATCAATGTTCCCTCCACTTTCCAATCCTTAATGAATTAGATTTTTTGCTTGTTCTTGCGACAATTTATTTTGGTATTTTTTGATGACATCCTCATGTACAATGAGGATTGTTGTTCCCTCTTAAACATTTACATACCACATTGAGTTTGTTAAGAGGCAATTAGATTTATTCTAAAGCATTTAATGTGATTTTGGTCAAAGACAAATCCACTATTTGGGCTGACCTAGACAAAATACGCTGTATGGGCTGACCTAGACAAAATACGTTGTATGTTACACTGGCCTTGGCCCAATACCAGTTATTTTTAGTGATTTATTCAAAATTGTAGTACTATTGTTGCTCCTCTAACACAGTTATTAAAGACAAATGATTTTGAGTATTTTGAAGCGATTGTGAATCCTTTTATTTTCTTGAAACACATTCTTGCTAACACCTTGGTGTTGGTATTGCCAGACAAAGTGAATATCGGGATTTACACTTTCTCTAATAGAAACCTAAAACTGTAGGCAGTGGATTTCAACTGTATTTGAAATTGAATTTGCAAAAGGGTTTGCGAAAGGTTTTAATCCCGAGATCCATTTGAGCAGAGTGTGTGACATTGCACTTTGCAATCAGGGAAGAGGTCTTTCTCTGTGAGTAGTGTTTTAATTATTTAGGGCTGAGAGGTTAAGAGCAAGAGACCATTAGAAGGCTGGTAACTTGATGGGCTTTATCTTACACTAGTGAGGACCCGTGCGATGCACGAGAAAATCCAATAAATCAGTATTGTACTTGTATTAAAAAAATATAATAATTTAGTAATATATCAGTAATTATTCATTAATTATACAAACATTTTTCAAAATTCAGTAATTTTTAGAAATTACACTAAATTATATTAAAATTTTCAATTATTGAAAAATATTAATTACTAAAAAAAATACAATTACTGAAAGTTATAATTTAAAATGCAAAAATAAAAAATAATAATTAATTTATTGACATATTAACAAATTTTCAATATTTGTATTTTAAAATGTTAAAATAAAAATAATATTAATAAATAATTATTTGAAGCATCAAAACAAATAAGTAAAAATTATCAAAAAAATAACTAAAAATGTTTTGAAAAGTTTAATTACTAAAAATATTAATTTATTAAATAACTTATAATAATTATAATAATAATTAATGATAATATTAAATCAAATAAGTACAAAATATAAAAAATAAATAAAAATATAGAATTATTTAATTACTGAATGTAATAATTATTGAGAAAGCTAATTACTAATATTATTAATTACTGAAATAACTAAAAATTACTAAAAGTTAATTTTATCAAATAACTGAAAAATAAATATTCAATATTCAATAATGATTTGAAATTGTAATAAACCATTTTTGGACAATGTTTGTGATTTTCATAATTTATAGTTAGTCAACAATTATAAATGATTAATAATGATTAATTTATATAAAAAACAAATTAATTTTTATAAAAACGAATGGGGCCAATGTCTCGAGTAATTTAAATTAAATATCATTAATCATTTTCAGAAATTAATAGTTATAATTGGTTATTAATAGCTATTAATTAAAATTTAATAATTAGCTATTAGATTATGAATTAATAAGTAATGATTATTTATTAATTAATGCAATTATGATAATTTAATAATTTAATGACAAGGAGAGGGATCAAATCCTTGGATTTGTTGTCCTCCTACACTTTTGATGAYATAAGGAGAAATTAGGAACAACTAGCTAAAAGTTCCGTAGTTAGAAGCAAGCTAGTGGTGGATTGGAAGTCTCCTGATGCAGGCATCATTAAACTAAATTTTGATGGCAGTAGTTTGGGCAACCCGGGACCATCTGGAATAGGGGGTCTTTAGAAATGATGAGAGTCAGATTGTAGCTCTATTTTCTAGTCCTATAGGGAGGGGAGACTCGGTAAATGCAGAACTCCAAACTGTGTTACATGGAGCAGAATATGTAAGAGAGTTGGTAGTGGAGCATTTAATGATTGAAGGTGATTACAAATTGGTTGTTGGATGGCTAAAAGAACCAGAGGCGGCAGCTTGGTTGTACAGGGGGACTTTGAGAAGATTTAAGTGGCTGACTTCAAATATTTCAGTCACAGGTCAATGGGAAAGAAGATCGGCAAATGGGTTGGTAGATCTCCTAGCTAAACAAGGAGTACATAGGAATCGGCTCTTTTGGGCTCAATTGTAAAATTTAAGATGTAGTTTGGAGGCTGCACCTCATGCCTCTTAGTGGGGAATTGTATGATGCACACTTAGTTCTTTAATTAATAAAATTTTCATTGTCGTTGTCTATCAGAAAAAAAAAATTTGGTTGGTTTGGACTGTGAACCGAATTGAGAGCAAGGAGAAAACGGAATTAAGGGTGTCAAGAATAGTCGACCCCCACCCCAAAGAGTCTCTTTTATATTAATGAGATAAAAGATATGTACAACTACAAAAATGCCTTTATAGGGTTGAAAGATAAAAAAGAACAAATAAAATAATAAGAGTACGATACTGCACAACAAGGACTATTCTAATAATGTACATCAAGGTATATCTTCACACTCCCCTCAAACTAATGCATAGACATCATTATCAGTTTGCCCATAAGAATAAGGTGTCGACTTTTAGTTCTAGCCTTGGTGAAGATGTTGGCAATCTGCATGTGAGAGGCTACATGAGGAAGAGATATAGACCCTACAACAAGAAGGTCTCTAATAAAGTGACAATCCACCTCTATATGTTTAGTCCTCTCATGAAAGACAGGATTAGATGCGATCTTGATAGCACTGGTGTTGTTGGCATATAAAGGGATAGGAGTAGGAAGAGGAGTACCAAGATCCATGAAAAGAGACTTCAGCCAAACAATCTCGCTACATGCAGAAGATATAGCTCTATACTTGGCTTCGGTAGAAGACTTGGAGACAGTTTGCTATTTCTTGCACTTCCAGGAGATTAGCACCCATGAAGATGAAAGAATGGTAAGATCCATCATATGGACGCCAAAAAGGTTGCGGAATGGGTGGGCGAATTTCAAAAATTTCTTGTCATTCTTCCAACTGGGAATCATATTCCCTGAATTATCCAGGATTTATCTTGAATCAAAACCGAACCAATTCTGAACCAAAAGCGAAGGGAAGGGATATACCTGATCCGGAGAAGCAGTATCTCCCAACGTTGGTGTTCACGCCTAAAGAAAATCCCAAGAACTGCTCCCACTGAAGATGACACAACGATGATGGAATAGAACCAGCAGTATTCGTCCCACGAACTAGGTTCTTCTGAAGAACTCGATGGAAGCAGAGAGCACATTCTTGATCTTCCTTCACAGAGAACTCGAACTGGCAGTAGATGGTGGCGGCTGCTAGAGGAGGAGGCTAGAGAAGAAGATGGCGAACTGCTTTTTTCTTCTCTAGGGTTTCTGAGATCCTATCTCAAAGTTGCATAGTGTTCTGCGAAAATCTTAGGGTTCGAATTCTTGTAATTTGAATTCTTGTTTCTCCTCCTTTCTTTGTGATTAAGAAACCTCCTAATCTCATTAGGAGTTATCCTAATCCAAATCTGTATTTGGATTAGGAGTCTTCTTAATCCTATCTGCAGATTAGATCAGCCCACTCCTGATCTTATCAGGAGGTTACCGGATTCAAATCTAATTTGAATTTGGTCTCCATGAGTGGATAGGTCAAGACCCAATCCTTTTTGGCTTAACGTAATCTCAGATCCACCCCTTTAAGTGACTGATCAAATCAGCCCAGTTCGAAATGGGCTTTAGGCCCAATATGTATTAAGTGCCCAATAGGCTTCCAAATTACTGCCCAGTTGGGCTTCTTTGTATGGTGTGGGACCAAAGCATTGATCTACACATCAGCCACATGGGTTTGGTCCAGCCTCTATTACAAGGCCTAGCCGAATTCACTGGAAAGCCCAGTGAACCCCTTGAGCCCATCACATGGAC